CGCTCCTATGCGCTGGGTGGTTACAACGGAGCCGGCGCGAAGTGCTGTTATTAGAGGCTGATTGAATGGGTGTCATGATAGTGGCTGCGTTTGGAATTTTCAGGCGACAGGCAAAATGCATTTCGTCACATTTTTCGATTTTCGATTCAATTTTAGTTAAGCTACAAGAACGCATGGTGCAACTGGCCAATGAGGGTAGCGTTTGTGGGTCAAAGAATACGTCCAAATAACGAAAACGCCCCGCTGTTGCTTTGAACCAAAATGGCGGTCAAGTTGGTTTATTGTATGCTTCATTCGGCCTGTGGTGTGGCCTACCTATTGCTGTACATGAGTGCATCACTTGGTAGAGAAAGGCTTACGTCATGCCAGCTACAGCGCTGGTCTGTTGGCGTGATCGAACAGGACGCTGATGCGTGGAAGAGGGAAGAGAGGATTAGGCAGATAATGAGGTATACTTTCAATCGTAATTTCATTGCCTGCTTTACTATGATCAATCTGATGAGCTCAAAACATAACGATTTGACAGAATTTATGACTTTGGATGTTGCTTGCCGATGAGGCACTTCGGTTCAAGATCAAAGTCTGCGTTTGCCGATTCGACAAATATCACCTCTACTCAAACTGACTCGGACAGGACATCGGCAGATAGGGGCCAGAAAAAGGGATTGATCCAACCCAAAGCTAACGTTTGGTTTCCGCACTATGAGCGAACCAACGCACCTTAAAACGATCGTACATCTATATTTCCGGAAAACTTGAAGGCTCATGGAATCCCCCAGTTCTCCTCAAAAGAAGGGGTCAGACTGAAATGGATCCCAACTTCTTATTGTGGCATCAAAGACCTCCCTTCCCTGAGGTCTGGGCCGTGTGGAGCAGGAACCAGCAGGTGTGCGTCCGCTCGGATGGGGACTCGGCCTCGCCGGCCTTTGTAATATTATCGGCCTCGACTTTCTTTTTTATATGGCAGATAGGAGAAGGGGGCATTACGTGGATTCAGTGTAAGCAGGTTCGGGTTCACATCATTGCTGCACCCTCTCGAGATAGGGGCAGTCTTCTCGAGTAAGAGCACCAAGGCACAACCCAACGAGTGAGTTCCGTAACACGATCGTCGAGCGCCTTTTTATTATTGTATATACCCAATTAATTACTTGGGTCAGACCCGAAATTTCAGTGGACCTTTAATTCGAAAACAATCAAATACTTTGAAATAATTCATTTGACCCACTCGTGAAAAACTCGTCGGCCCCAATGAGATTCGAACCCACGACAACCAGGGGAAGTCTTTAATACAATCAACGCTCTGGAGTGACTGCGCAGTTTCCACCTGAATTTCGCTAATAACCCAAAAGTCATATCCTAGGCACTTAGCTCGAAGCTCTACACATAAAAATTTCCGGACTTATTAGCTTGGTGTACATATAATGGTAATGTTATTCTGCTTACATAGGGGCGCCCGCAGATTGCGCTACGTGGCACAATCATCCTTCATTCTGTCCTGGGAGTCGATCTCGAGTCCCGTCAGCAGCCGCACAACGACCTGTTGCTTAGAAATCCAACGCTCTAGCCATTGAGCCACAGGCTCTTTGTTCTGTAGATTACGATCCGGTGTATTGACAATGATAGACGGGCGCCCACAGATTGTTAATATATCCGATCGTAATTGACCGGACAACGATTCCATGGCCCAACAGTTAGGGAGTTGGACTACTAACCAACAGGTCGCGAGTTCGAACCTCGGAGGTGGAGTACCAAGTACCTCAGAATGGGATATGGCTGGCTGATGACGGTTAACAGGCCGGGAGTGGCCATCCCAGTCTCCCCTGCCTTCCTCGGTAATGTTACTCTGTACACACATATATACATATGGAAGTAGACAAGAAGGCGATCGCTGGGGCCAAATGTTTATTTATCCGACGTCTCGAACTCTCACGCGAGCCCATCGTCAAGGAATGAGAAAACTGTACAACTCACCGTATACTTAGCAAACCGCATATTTAGAAAACCAAAGGAACAACCAAAACTGAAATACTGGCGCGCAGTACCGTACAGAGCTGATGTTTCAGAGGAATTTGCTAGATTTATGAGCGAATTTGGGATTGGCGTCGTTCACAGACCTGAAGCAACAATTCGCCGGCATTTCATGCACCCGGAGGACCCCATTCCCATCAATCAGGAATCGGGGGTCATTTACCGGATAGACTGCAGTTGTGGTCAAGCCAATTATATTGTTGAAATTGGCAAACAGGTTCGCATGAGACTGCACGAACACGAGTTCGCTGTGAGACGGAAGGATAAACTCGCCTTGGTAGCCGCCCACGCCTCCACGCCAGGACACGGCTTCGACTTTCAGTGCGTGAGAATATTGGGACAGTCAGACGACCGAGTTGCGCGCCTGCTGCAGGAAGCGTGGCACTCAACTGAGGACGCGATCAATCGACATATCGATCTGCCAATCGCTTATAAAGCACTGTGTGAACAAATCGGCAGCTCAGCTAGAGGTCATCCCCGACAGAGGTGAGCTAAATATGCGATGAGTTGTACAGTTTTTTCATCCCTTGACGCTGGGCTCGCGTGAGAGTTCGAAACGTCGGTTAAATAAACAATTGGCCCCAGCGAACGCCTTCCCCTCTTCTTCTATTCATTTACCTGGTCCGCGCGTGTCCTCTATCATTCGGAATGTATACATATATAAATTTCAGAAATTATTAAATTCAGGATATGGAATTAAGTGCCTCTGACATGAATTTTTAGGGTCAGACTCAAAATGTCAATGACCATTCGAGTCGAAGATAATCAGTTAGCGTGGGACAACCGTGTAATGTCCCTTCTAAGAACAGGTAGCACTACTAGCAATAAAATCTTATATGACAGGTGGTTATTTCGCATTGCCGAAAAAGGTATTAGGCCAAAAGTTCGAACACGTGTTTCTCCGATTTTTCTCCTGTTGCATAAAGCAGCTGCCAGATGTTCGGCTCCTCAGTAAGTCCCCAGCATCCTCCATGCAGATTTTGGTGTTCACATACCAGAAACCATATAGAGAACGCTGAAGGACCCGCCGAGGAGCCGAAACCTCACAACTACGTCATGCAGCAGCAGTAGAAACACCGATGAAACACGTGCCTGGGCCTTTAGCAAGCACCTATATCGGGAGTACGACACAGCCATCTGTCATATAAGCATGAGATGATACAGACAAAGACAGTATCGGTATCACCTCATTTACATCTACTACTAGTCGCTGTGCAACTGCCTGCGAGTGTTCCAGTATGAGCCCCAAGGCACAACGGAGCGAGCACATTCCGTAACTTGATCGGTGAGCGCCCATCTGTCATATATATGCATGTATATAAATATGGTAGAGGAGCGCCCACCGATCGTTTTGCGGAAATCAATAGTCCCGTTGTGCCTTGGGGCAACCTCTTAATGGACAAGCAAGCTTATGTGTCACCAACTGTCAACAAGTTCAAAAAGCACGAACAAGACAACGGGCAAGCTGATGAAGCCGGGAGCTCTCACGAGAAGGGAGGCGCTGGCCACAATGGCCACTGATGCCGCGGTGGCACGCTTCTACGGCCTGCCAAACGTTCACAGACCAGGAGTACACCAACGCCACATCGTCTCCTTACGTGGCAACCCGGCCTTTCGGCTGTCAAAGTGGCTGTACCAGCAACTTTATTTCCTTACCCGGGATTTGGAGTGGTCGGTGAGGTCAGTTGAAGAGTTTTTTACGTGAATCCAACATCTCGAAATAGGGGGGGGGGGGGGCAAACGAGGCAATTATGTCATTTGACGTGATCTCATTATCCACCTCTATCCCACCTGCCCTGGCAATCAACATTATTAACGACCTTCTCCGAAAAAACATGATGAGACCGACCAACAGCTCAAACGAGTGCATATTATCGAGCTCCCAGAACTGTGTCTTAAGACCTTCTTCGCATTCAACAGCCAGATATACGAGCAAACGAAGGAAACACCGATAGGCTCGCCTTTGTCTGGACTAATTGGCGGGGCAGTTTTGCAGAGGCTCTAGCAACTGGTCTTCAGCCCATATCCCCCAAAGTTCTGGAACAGATGCGTTGGCGACACGTTTGTCATAATCAAAAGAAGCGGTGTACAGGCTTTCAAGGCAATGCTGAATTCGATTTTCCCCAAACCCAGTTAACTAAGGAGGAACAAGTCAACAATCAGTTGCCCTTCCTTGATGTTCGACCGTCGTAACCGACGTTGTTCACCATGTCTCCACAGCATGGTTAGATCAGGGACGGTGACTTGCGCATGATTTCCTTTATAGTGGTAGTGGACTTTCGCTGCATCTACCGCACTCTCTCCTCCCCTGTCTGGGCTCATTGTAAAGACAGTCAAAAAGACCGGAGGTGGGAGAGGGCGCAGGTGGATGGCGCGGCCGGAGCCGCCCCTAAGTGTGTCACCACACCCGGCTCGGATCCCACGCAGTGTGAGGGCCATAAAGGCCACGTTGAGAAGCAGCCATTGCAGCCTGACTCTCAGATTACCAGTCGGCCGCTCTACATAAACACATAACACTGGGTAGACTGCGAGGTTCAAGTGATCCCGTCAGTTGATAACCTTCCAAGCCACGGCATTTAGTGCCTCGTGATAGCTTAAAGCGCGTCAGATTATTTATGGAGAGGAAAATGCGCTGAGTCGTTGACCTCACTCTCCCTTCCCATTCCCAGGTCCCAACCACTGTCCAAGCCGGTCATTCGTCTGGTGCGGGGAATGCGCGCGGTGACTGGTATATCTAGTAACCTTGTCCGTGCCTGCCACATACACCACCTTGCCCCCAAATACAACCACCAGGATTCCACACACAAGGGGAATATAACGCTCCGTTCTCACGCTAGGCATAGGAGCCACACGGAGAAAGAAGCCGGAGGGCAGACTTCCCACTTACGCGAGATGTTGGATTTTGGAGGGGTATATGCGTGATGCATGTGTTGAGGGGGGATATGTGGTGAAGTTATCATGTCTGAGGTGATTTACCGCAGGTTCTCATGAATGCAGATGTGACCTAGCAGGCCAATGAGATGGCTTAATGTGCGATGGAAAGGCAGGAAGTTGAGGAGAGTGCCTCTGGTGCATGTTGGTGCTCCAGACACTGGTTCTCCAGTCTCCGGGCGATGGATTCGCAAGTGACCGATCAGGCCGAAGCGTGAAGTGAATGCGCGGTCGCAATGAGGACAGGTTGGGGCTGAGTCCACATCGCTGGAGGTGGGGGTGTTGGTGGTGATGGTGGAAGGTGATAGGACGCCGGGCTTCGTCCGGTCGATGGGAGGAGTGCGAGAGATCGTGATGTTGTTGGAGCTGGTCACTGTGATCAACGCAGAGGTTGGAGCCGGGCGAATAGTGCCGGAGATCGATGGCGACAGGGCATCAACAGCGTGATCACCGGTGATGGGGTGACCGTCATCGCCAGGCTTGCGGCAGGGGCGACAGTAGGGGTGTTCGTGGGAGGAAGGCTTGACGTTACCGGCTTGTTTATGCATTGCTTCCGAAGGTGTCCTACGAGGCCGAATATGCGTGTCATCACAAACATGTCGGAAGTGACTGGCTGTTGCTATTGAGGAGTCGAGACACTTGTGACTCGCGAACCTCCCTTTTGGCTTTGGCGGTGGCGATACTGTTTTCTTCGTAGATCACCGCTCCAGTTTCCACTGAAATTCTCCAGGCTGGCCGGTTTTGTGCGACATCCTCCTAAGTTTTGGGGTTGATAGATAGACGCTTCAAGGAGTTTTTCCTGGTATCATTGTAGTGGTGGATTTGACCTGCTTGCCGCCGGCCACCCTTGGCGATGTCACCATAGAAGAATCGTTTTGGTAAACATGTATTTTCCCTCCTCACGAGATGGCCACCCCAACGTAGTCACAGTTGTTTCGGCTGCTGAGAATTCCTTTTCGTTCGAGAACTTCCATGTACAGAATCCTATACTGCCGTAGCAGCTTGAATATCTATCGGAGACAACTAAGGTGGAAATGATTGAGCTTCCGCGCTTGCTTTTCGTGAACTGTCTAGGCTTCCGCTTCATACAACAGCATCGTCAAAATGACAACTTTGTACATCTACAGCCTCGTGCTTAGGTGAAGGCCGTGGCGACTTCACACGGAGTTCTGCAGTCGGCCGAAGATTTGGTTGGATTCGGGGATACAGTGCATCACTTTGTTGCTGATTCGGAAGCAGCGCGACACTGCACTGCCTAAGTAGGTGAAGTTGTCCACGGTCTTCAGGTCAGTGTCTTTGACGTGGGTAAAGGGACGTTGTATTCAGCATTTGGTGACGGTCGACGGATGACCGCCGTTTTGTCCGTATTGACGCACAAGTTACAGAGGTGGCAGAAAGGAGGATAAAAACATCGGTTAATCGTAGGACAACCAACGCTAGGCGCATCCTCCACTTCCAAAGCAACCACTCCGTTAGTCACAAACGAAGTTGTGTCAGAACCCTCTTCCAAAGCCTTCAAACACTCTGTGGTTATGGCAGCGGGAGAGAGGAGATGAATTGGTTACACGCCCTATTTGACGTCAAAGGTTATCCGAAGTCCTTCATATGCAGGTACCATAAGAAATCTCATTTTGAACGATCGAGCCGAGAAAAGCCGAAGTTCTGGCTCTCAAACACCTATTCGAAGCAAGTTTCAGGGGCGGCTGCGGGAATCATTAAACCTTTCGGGATTGGCATGGCTCATTAACAGGAATCAGCAAGCAGACAGCAAATCATGAGGCCGAAAGACCCGCTACCAGTAATAGAATTATCACAGTGGTCTACAGCATGTCATGCCAAAATTGCGATGCGAGGTATGTTGGCGACATGGGTAAACGCCTTGACACAAGACTGCACGAACACCAACTTGCAATCGACCGGAAGGACAAGCTTTCCTTGGTCTATGGCCAAATACTGCAGATGAACAACAGTTTAGGGTTTTGAGACAGCGAGGCTGATTGACTGTGCCAGTGAGAAGACCACCAGATTGGTGCTCGAAAGTTGGTCCTCGGCTGGAACTATCAAGCAGGCTACAGACCTGCATCCCCCCTACCAGCCGTTACGTACAGGGCTCGAACCAGTTCGGACAGGACCAATAGGACAGGCGACCACGCGGAACCGAGAACCGACGCTCACGGAAGAGGGGGGATGACGGCCGGAGGTCACGTGCCCAACATCGAACACTGCCTCACCGGTGAGCCCGCGAGGCTGAAAACAACCTACACGAACAGCAACGACTGATCGGTTCACCGACAGGCACTCTGACTTGGCCACAACTACGCCGACCCTAAGGGGGACAAAGGCCACGCGTGCCCGCCAGTGGTCAGCCTCAGGAAGGTCAAAGCTAGTCAGCAGCAAACGGGCAGGTCAAAGTTCGTGCATCGAGTACAGCCATAATAGGAGGCAAAGAGCAGGGCTGAATAAATCAAGACCAGAAAGAGCAACAAGTGCGCTACTTTTATGATGGAAACGAGAAAGTTCGCGAAACATCAGTTCGAATAGGATTTGGTTCATCAAAGCGCATTCCCTCCAACGACCACACATAATTTACTCAGGGCAGGAAAAACTCTTCAATGTTTATATTTTAGAAAATCTATTAGGGGATGGAGTTGAAGAAGTATGTCGACCGAAATAAGAGCATTTTGGGGTCTGGAGGGCTCTTACTTATCGTAAAAGATTTATTTGACAGGTCCGTTCTGCCTCACCCACATGGGACAATAATAGTCAAGAGATCAAAAGCTGAACTTTACAGTCTTGTGAAACATCCAAAATATCGTTTGTCTAACGAATAACATCCCGTTTTGTCCTATATAATCGGGTGCAGAGACGGTAATGAAGTAGGCAGGAAAAGGAGGAAGCTGCAGACAACTGCATCGACACTGATGCCAGAACCGCATGTCCAATCTGTCATCCAAACCTGTGCGGTGCTGATGACTTAAGGTACTTCGCGAACCGAAAGTCCAATTCCTGGGGGATGGTGCCGGGATGTATATCTCGTGCGTCGAATTCTTTCCCCCCCCCTGTCTAGGTCTTGTTTCAAAAGACCCGCAACCATAACGCGGACCCGAGAAATCTGGCAAACCGATAAGACTGGTGACGTAAGGTGCTATCACACGTCACATGGATATGACAAACGCATCCTATTTTTGAATTTGATCCGCGCAATGGACATAATGATGCCAACGTTGTGGAAATTAAGCGGGAACTGCAGAGTAAACGTAACTTGCACGCGAGCAAGATTTGTAAAAACTATGATGGTCAGTATTGTGAAAAAGGGAGGATGGTGTTTCGGCATCGAAAGCTGATAGTCGACGCAAATCAATGAGATACACTGTAGACAATATCCTTGGATCAGAGAACTTTGACTACATTCTGGTACTGATACGCCGCCGGCTACGTCCCACGGCATCGAACGCCTGTCGTCCGAGAGCGAATCGGCTTTTATCATTTCAAATAAGTTAATCGATATATCTGGAGGGGGTGAGCCACGCATGCCACCTACTCCGGAACAAGTAGCCTCTTAGAAAATGACCACCAACAGCGGGACCCCAGACGCCAACGCCGATATGTTGCTGAGAATCGAGAGAATACAGAATCACAAGAATGTCCAGGGGCTGGTCTTAATAAATTCGGAGGGTAACCCTGTACGTTCAAATATGGACAACTCCACATCGCTGCAGTATACTCGTCACACTGAGGAGCTGAGGGCCATCACACAGCACGTTATCCGAGACCTTGACCCAGAGGACGATTTGATCGTTCTTCGAATAAGGACACGTCTCAACGAAATTATGGTCCTACCAGGTAAGTGCGGAATATTTCATTTTTCCGCTTGTAAACAGCATAGAGATGTTGTAGAACTAAACAACAGCAGTAGTTAGTCCTCTAATGATTATATACGGAGACTATTCGCAACCTTATTTGGTGGTACTAAGCTTCTGTCAGATATGCACTATTCCAATTATGCTGTTGGGCGATGACTCATTGACCAGAATCTGACCAAACCAATAGCGGCGACAGAGCATTCTTATGTATTGGTGCTAGCGAAGGAGCAGAAAAATAAAGGTGGCTTGGATAGAAGCTGAATGATTGAAGTATAAGTGCCGACCTTAGGAGAATTCGACGAGAATGCTCACGTTGGAAAGCATTCGTCATGACCGTCATTACTGACCCTTCCACGGTGCTGTCCGCTGGGAGTAGACTTCAGGGTCGGCTGACACACCAACCCGGCAGAACGAAAACCACAGGGCTGGAGACACGCGAAAGGACAGCCCTAACCACATCCGGCCATGTCTCCGGTTGACCATCAGGACGCCGTCGACATTCGCGGCAGGTTTCTGGGAAGATGACATTCTGAAGGACCTCATCCTCCGTTTGGCACGACACAAGAGCAAACCATTCTAGTTTGCGAGAAACGGTGCCGTAGTTGACATGCTGGATTCCTGGCCGCAGGTTATAGACGCGATTCGAGGTCAGTTCAAGGAAATAAATGTAGGCACTGTCGATCGAATATTATCGGGAGGTGGAGGTCTTCTAATCAAGTAGACTGTCTCACCCGTACATAAGAATTTTCTTGGTGGCGACCTCGAATACTTGCAGCTTGGTGCCCACGCTTACGTCACATCGACTCCGGAGGTTTTCAAGACGTCGAAGTTCGAGTTCGGACCGGATGCGCTGATCTATTTAGTTCTTACCTTGGTCGTTTGGCAGAGATTTCTATGCAGAGTAACAGAATCAGTCCTTTAGGTCAAAACTCTCAGCGTTTATTGTGACTGGGACGGCACCTCCAACAAAGAAATTTAGGTTGTCGTCCTCGTGTCTAAGTACAGAGTTCGCACCGACCTTGGACACCGCACTCCACGCACCCGCAAAGGAACTGCCAGCAAGCCGGCGTCCCCAGTGTAAGTCCGGGGCCGTGATTCACAAACTACGATTCGGTGTAACCGAGGTGATTTGCCAGCGCGCGCTGCAGAACACAGTTCGCCGCGTATCTGAAGACAGTAGTTAAGAGAACATGGTTATGACGGATGCTAAATCTGGTGCGCAGGAAATTCCTCTCTTCACTACTCACACGGACTTCGGTCCTTGTTCTGCCATGATGGGCCGGAATAAATCGAAGTAACCGTCGTAACGTCATCATGCAGAATGACCGAAGACAGGGAATCTAATGAGCCGGGTTAAAGGTAAAACCCACGGGACAGACGAGAGAATTGGTGCTCGTGGGTTTCGGTTCAGTGAGCCATGCTGACCAACATATATTCCGGTCAGCCGAAATCTGTGTAGGTCATCCGAACGTCGGATAGAGACGGAAAAGTGGAACGGAAAGAACTGCTTGGACTGTTTGATACCGGTAGATTACCACCTGGAGGCAGTCCTCGTTTAGCGCTTTGTAGGCACGCAAATGCACATCACAGCGAGGATCTCTACAGCTGGTAGTAATAGTCTCATGAACATCCCAGCAAACGTCCTCGTCACCATCCTCAGACGGTTTCAGACTGCTTGTGGTTCAAAGACGGAAGTCGATCCAAACCAACCCGGAATGAGGTGTGGATGCATCAACCAAGTATTTGCATTGCGGTGCATCCTCGAACTCCGCTGTCTGCAAGAGGTTTGTGGTCGTGTGCCTTACCCACTTCAATTAAGTGGTTCTTTCTGTTCGAGTTTCTACCGCGTAAAGTGAAATTAAGCGGCATGACAGCAAAGGACACTACGACGGACCGAAGACGTCAGTATTCAATTCTCCCCCACTGTGTCCACACTGCTAACGGAGATTCTAGGCACCAACCGGAATCTTTGCGAACCCAGTACAATGTTAAAACGACTAACGCCCCCCATCCAGAAACATAAAATCGCTGCCGTCACCACTAGCGACAGCAATGAAGGCACCACTATCGACCTTCAAAACACCAATCACTGTCCCTACCGCCGTCGACTCAGTTCTAACCTCTCAGCATGGAAATCGCATTTTACCATCACGCATAGGTCTGGCAGGCCACTTACTACTAAATCGTACAGAACCAGCAAACCGGTACCTGTAATTCCGACACAAGTCTCATCGGCTTACAATGCGCCACGGCGTCCAGACACATAGATGTGGTTGGCCATACGCAATTCACTGGAATCTACTGCAATTTTATCACGACAAAGAAACCTTCTGCAACCGGAAACTACTGGATCATCATCATCATCATCATCATCATCATCATCATCATCATCATCATCATCATCACCACGGCCCGCTGTCTGCGAAGAATACTCTGATGTCGAAGTAACAAGACAGAATTCCAGGCATAGAAGTCCTCGAGCGCACCACCATTTACGCCATGCTGGTGCTATTGCGCTGGAGCGGCCGCCTGGCGATGATAGCTACGGAGCACCTACCCAAACGATTGGAGCCATTGCAGCCTGACTCTCAGACCGCCTCCCGTTAAGGAGGAGGTCCAAGGTATCCCGTCAGTTGGCAACCTTCCAAGCCACGGCTTTTAGCGCACCGTGATAGCTTCAAGCGCGTCAGATTGATTATAGTGAGGAAAATGCGCTGAGTCGTCGACCTCACTCTCCCTTCCCATTCCCACACCCCAACCACTGTCCGAGCCGGTCAGTAGACTGGAGTGGGGAATGGGCGCGGTGGCTGACATGGTCGACTGACCATGACTGCGCGCGCCACAGCACGACCTGGCCCCCCATACACACACAAACACCAGGATTTCACACAACGGGGGTTGAACGGCGTGTCTCTCACTTGCGTGAGAGGGCCGTGGAAGGTGCTGTTGCAGCCCGTCCTCAGCCCACCAGTCCGCCACTCCACACAACACACACACACAACGTGACGGACTGCGTGAGCCGAGAGCGGGCCTCAATCAGCAACCTTCCTATCCACGACACTTGAAGTGTCGGGATAGTCTCGGACACAAGTCACCCGTACAGCCGAGGCCGCATGGGGACCGGGTCGAGATGCACACTTCCCACTTGCGTGGGAGGCGGCAGCTGAGTGCATGAGGTGAGTGGGGGTTGATGTCTGATTGGGTGATGGTGTTAGGAGGTAGAGAGTGAGGGANGAGCAGAGCCCAGCTACGTGGAGCCACAGGTGAGAGTTGAGTGCCAGCAAGTGGACGCTAGGCGTAGTCTCACCTGCAAGCAAGTGAGCGACCACTACGACCTTCACGTGAACCCACCGCTGACACCCCTACACCCCATTCCCACCACAGTGTGGGATCCGAGCCAGGCGTTGGCGGCACGCCCAGGTGCGGCTTCGGCCGTGCCAGCCTCCAAATCTCTGTGGTGTTGGTTGAAATCCTGGTTATTGTTGTGTGGACCAGGGGGTGTGGTGGAACGCCAAGGTGAGGATCCGTCCGAACCATCCACCTGCGGCCTCGCTCGTCTCCGGTCTTCTTGACTCTGTCTTGACACCGGGTCCAGGCGGGGGAGGAGGAGAGAGTGTAGGTAGATGCAGCGCAAGTCTACCGGCACTATAAACCCCTGCGCAAGTCAGCGTCCCTGCTCCCACCGCTGCTGCAGCTGTGGGGCACACGGTGGACATCGTCGAAATCGACGGTCGAACTGTCGTCACCCAAACGATACTTCTATGGGGATGCCTCAACGTGTGGTCGCCGACAAAATAGGCAAAGACGACGCTACAAGGACACCTTGAAAACCTCTCTTTGGTAATTGCAAATAAACCCCGAGACCTGGGGGGGGGGGGACTCTTAAGGATTTAACGGCCTAGGAGAGAGCGGTGGATATCTACGAAGCTAACCGGGCCACTGCTAACAAAGCCGAAAGGGTGGCTCCTAGGTATCAAGTACTTCTGACCCGCAACGCCAATCCATTCCAAGTCCACATTGTCAAAAAACATTCCTCGAGCGTATCGGACTTGTTGTACATCTACGAGCCTAAAGCGACAACCCAACTTTACCTGCTGCCTCCACAAACGCCTCCATCCACACAGCTGCACCAACTCCACCTACCCAGGGGATCACCATCGACGATCGCACTCCTAATGTCCGGTTACCGTCGTCAACCACCATCTCCATCATACCTGCCGCAACTCGCGCGACGTCAGTGAGTGTCACCCCTCCCACTCCCACCACCGACGTGCCGACAGCCATTACTGACAGCAATGCTGACTCGACAGGAGGCAGCTCCCGTTGCGATCACATCGCCCATCGGCCTGGTCGGTCACTCGCGAATCCGTCGTACACTGGCTAACCAGAGCCAGGGGCATCAACACACCCGCCGTCGTAGCCCCAACTGTCCGCACTACCCACGCACACTTAGTTCCTGCATGGGCCTATTCGGTCACATGGGCCTCCATGAGACTCTGAGGTAACCCATCACCGACCTAAACGCCCTTACCGCATACACTACACAATACCCTACTCTTTATCACCCACCACAAGTGCGGAATAGGCATCCCTCACGTAAGTGGAGACACGTTTATCGGCCTCTGCATGTGACTTCTACGGCACTAGCGCATGTGAGACCAGACCAGCCCTCTCCCTTTGTGTTAAGGCCTTGCGTGTTATGCAGGGGTCAGGTCGTGCAGCTGGCACAAACAGGCCGTTCTGCACTGTCAGCCACGGTGGTCAACTCCGCCTCTGGCCTTCTTGACTCGTCTTGACACCAGGTTCAGGTGGGTGAGGGAAGAGTGCGGTAGGCGCTCTGAAAGTCGACTATCGTTAGACTAACTCACGCGCAGGTCGCCATCCCAAAGCCCACCCTGTTTTGAGGTACATTATTGACATCGTCGATAACGGCAGTTGAACTGTTATAGGGGAGGGAGGCGAGGGTGGCTCAAGGACCGGCGGGGTTAATGGCCCATCCCTCGTGTGGCACGAAGCGAAGCATCAGCCCGGTCGCTCAGAACTACGACACACGGCTTGACATTGCCGGTTCTCATTAACCGGTGCCTTGACGCCGCGCGACCCATGACTTGCCAAGCAGGAGACGTCTGCGCTGCACTATTCCCATGATCATGTTTAAGTACTATGCTACTGCTCAAGTCCTCACACCCCAGTGTATAGTATTCTGTTCCTTCGAGTTTGCGTAATTGTTAACCGACCAACTACCAGATGTTTGAGCGTACCTCTTGCTGCGGACACGGTGAATTAAGATCAGCGACTGAGGCGTGAGTGCCAGAGGACTTGAGTTTGTCTCATCAGTTCTAGCTCGGCACCCGAGGCTTCACTCGGCCTGGAATACGGAGGGACAAACAGCCAACCTAATGGCGGTTCGCAATTATTATGCGGCAGTGTCTACGGGCTCTACCCCAATACAGTTTTGCCAGACCGGTCTGCTGCATGGAAGCAGCACTTCGCGTGGTGCTTGGCGTCTAGGTTGTTTAATCGCTATGTGCTAAACTGCGCTGAAGACCATTCCGATATTGCTATCCGATCGTGTGCCGTAGCTGAGGCCGACAAACATATGCCTCACCCTCCAAGACAATGGCAGGGTATCAACACCCAACCATACAGTCCATTGACGGCAGGGTCAAAGGATTCTGACTAGTATTGCTCTGCATAAATTGTGGTCAGAAACTTTTTCCGAGGTATGGGAGGGGACGAAAATTTCTACCCAGGTGCCCGTATCAAAGAGATGAGTCTGCAGAATACCAAAAACCTGCAATCATCTCGGTCGATTCGAACAGCTAATCAACCCGCTGACCTGCACAAATTTCTTGGCAAAAACCAGGAAACTTCATAGTGCCCTGAACAAGCCCTTGCATACAGTTGTGGTCTGCCAGCGGATTTTACCCAGTGTCCCTCATAGGCGTGCTGGCAAGACGGGGTCCAGAGAAACACCTCAGAACAGTTTGTTGAGGCGTGAGACGATGCATGCAAAATGTCTTCCAAAGACAAGAACTGCCGACAAACGCACTCGGTCGTTGGTACTGTCATGGGGCTCTTCAACTGACAAGCGCACTCCTCACTACGTCCAAACTCGTTTCCACGCATTCCTCTACAAAATGCGAAAAGACCCTAAGGTATCGACTTGAGAACCCATGCTTGATTGTCACGCTTCGGTTGACGTGGCTAAAGGACATCGTTGTAGTGAGTCAGCACAGGCAAACGAGATAAGTGGCGGTCTAGCGAACAAAAATATATCAAAGGTCAAACGGCCTAGCAAACGGTCAGACACAAGAATAGGATGACAGCAGGAGCGGAAAAAGAACGAGCCAATGCAGGCCGACGCCGAACAGACCAAACCACCTACCACCTCCCAGTGACAAAAGACAACCTACTAAGTAGTTAAAGCAAATTAGAAGGGCAAAGCACTAGAAAGCTGCATCTAAAACTACCTAGGGATCCTTAAAGTCAGTCGGACTATAGAAACCGACATCTATCTTGAAGCGATTTCTCAGGCAAAATGAGCATAACGCCACCAAAGCGCACCCATATGCAAAGAAAACAGGCCGCAAACGACTACGGAGGCCTTGAGATACATCTTGGATGTCCTGTTGGATACTTTTGAGCATAAAAAACAGGTCATAATGTGAAATCGAGAACTGCAATTTATCTAGGCTAATTCGAATGCAGCTTAATCAAGTCTTTATCCTTTTTCAGATAACGGAAATATGGTCATTTGCGTTCAAGCCCGCGACGAAAACGAATCAGCTGGACAATTTTAAAATAAAAGTTAAGTGGTAACACCGTGTAGATTTTAAATGGTACAACTTTTGAGATTACAAACGAAGAAATAACTAGTAGGCGCAAACGAGCAGCAAGTATGGCATAAAATATTAAACTACAACCGCACAGGAAACTCTTTGGGACGTTATTATACTGTCGCAACTTGGGTGCCACAGTAACAGCTCAAAAATGCCACAGTTTCTTGACTCCTTTGATTACGCCCATGTCGTAATAGTTGAAATAGCAGAAGCCGGCGAAGCCAGCGGCGCAGAAGACTTTCCAGATTACCATGAGGATGGGCTGGAGTTTGGGGCCGTACCTCCGCTCCATGACATAGTCACGAATCACACCACCGAAACCCCTAAAAAATAAAGCAACAGTAACTGCGCGACAAGAAAATACAAAATGGAGAGTTAACAACAGAAGCCCTTTCGTACCCTACACATGCGCACTATTCGGGCGAATAACTGGCTTAGGCAATCACCCGTCGGTGTGAGATAAAAAGAAAATAGGTAAAGCCGAATAATCTGTGGTTAAGTGAACAGGCGAGAGGAAAATGCCAGAGGGTAGGCAGGCCTAGCTTCTACTTCTCCCCTTCTGTAGCAGCGTTCGGTCCATCAATGCACACTGGGCAACAAGGCCTTGGCCGCTCTAATTACTGACCGTATCATCTGCAGCAATAGGGATGAATCAGAGGTCGAATGCTTTGTTAACACCTCGGTTCCTCATCGTTTACTTCTTAGGATGTTATCGGACGGCCCTCATCCCCGTCGCACCGCTCTGCTAATGTATCACGTTATTGCGGACCTTGGCACGCCGATTTCACCTGCAGTTAGTATAAGTCATAGTTGATTTAGTGCAATTTGCTGTATGAGTAAATGGCGAGAGCTGACCAGCAAACACAGATTACGCCAAGCATCATACATCAAATCCCCAATGAACGTCAAGGTTGCCACCTTTGTCGCCATACCGCAAACACCCTCCGTGCAATTCACTTTCGTCCTAGTCGCTTATCTGCCCAATGGGATGAGGAGTTCACAAGGGCATGCTAGGCAGCTCGCCACAACTTAAAAACTGCAAGCCGAGAGGTATGCCACTGGCCGTCCAAAGTAGGCAACCGATTTCATGCCTCCTCACCAACTACGATGATTAAAATTGTGGGGGGTCTTGTGAAAGCATCTGAGGTGTACATGAGAAAAAGGAAATGAGAGGTGCTTTCGTCGTTCTCAGTACCGCTAGATGCTAAAAAGGGGTGGCTAGGCCAGATCAATCGTCTTTCAGTCATATGGTGGCCACAGGCCATCCAGTCAGACTTTCGAACGACTCGTGTAGGGAGGTCGTAATGACCCTTGGGGCCTGCCCGGCATGATAGCATACAGTAGCCTAATCAATTTGTCAGAGGGCCGGGCATCAAAACAAACTAGAAAACATGACGATTTGCCAATAAAGAAATCGGCGGACAAGAAGAGGGACGAGACCCACCAGTAGGCATGAAGGGAAACTGCCGCAGCAACAACGTACTCCATCCCCAGGGGTTCGTAAATGAGGGCGATCGGGTACATTGGGAGCATTGAGATAGCAACAACCCTCTCGATTGTCCAGTGGGTCGAGGGAAGCATCATGCCATTCAAATTTGGCTGTGGAGCTATGGAAATGCAGGTACCGATAACAGTGGTCGGGGGAGACGAAAGCGTAACATATAAAGATTAAATCCCTGAACTTCACTGACGAAAACATGGCTAAGACCCCGGATGACGTACATTAAAAAGGTAATAAGAAGATACGGAGTCTTAGAGCTCCGATAAAAGAGCATACAGAACAGAAAACTGTACAGAACAAACAATATCGGCCATTAGCCGCTAGAACTCAGCAAAGGCGCAAAAAATTGCAAGTCATCTGCTTTTCGAAAAATGCCTACTGTAAAATAGACCTAGGCAAGTTTCCATCTTAACCAGTAGCTTACGTGTTCGTCTTGCATCAGTAATCGGACAGTGTAACGAAGTGACCATTAAACATACCGGTTCCAAGTTTAGCCAGGTTATTTGAAGAGCAGACCAAAGTTCTGCAGGCATTAAGCTGGGTAAGGCCCGAGAACGCTCCTTTCCTGATCAAATGTTTTGAAATCTGGAGAGCAAGTGCCATGTCGAAACACGAAAGCTCTAAACACTCCGACGTCAAGCCCGCCGCCTCCAATGGGTGGTCGATATATTTAAACACTGACACGACAAGGTTTTTGGAATTGGTTGTGGTCTCTTAGACTTTTCAGGTATATACGACTCTGATAGGATTGGAGGATGAACTCCATTTATTTGCCTAATTTCTAAGGGTTTAGTACTGCCGAAAATATTTAATACTTTCTAGCAGATATTTTGAAAGAAAACACTCGACAGATGTGTCGCGCAATAGGTCTGGACGGGAAAGAATTACCCTTTTCCGTTGAAGTTTTAGTTATGATTTCTATTATTCCTATCTGGCTTTTTTAGCGTGATAAATGGCTTTGTATGTGGTCCAACATTTCACGATGCCATGGCTTTCACCACTTTCCTCAATAAATTGAAGTTGACTCCAAAGCACGAACTTCATTAATTTGCGGAAATCCGGAAGAAAAATGGCGTCATCAAGGCGCTACTTAAATTATAAGAAAAAGCAACGAATTAACTGTGCAGATGGCCTAGAAGACGTAGAACTTTAGCACACGTATACACAGGGCTCTGTGAAAATGTGCATTCTTCCGGTTTGGCACCTGTGCTAAAAGGTTCGTCTCCGTGCAGTGTGATTTTTCTAAATTTTCGTCAACCCACACAAATATCCGACAATCGAATAATTAAAAGAAGGGTTCGAACATAATGGTTTATTGTGGCAGATAGAAATATGATTGTTATATGGGAAGATCCAAAATGTCACGCAGATCCCGCGGATTCAGAGCGGGAGTTCGGGGAAAGTGGATTTGGAGGCCACCACTGGGGAGAGAATGGATATGTTCTGCATTTGCACTAAAAGGAACGAGACACCGCGTCACCGTAAGCTCCTGAATTCCTTATCTATCTTTTTGACCTCTTTTATTTAAAGAAACCGATTATGATTCGGTTCAGTCGCAACAACTGCCTCCTGTTCAGATGGACGGTGATTTTGTTTCGTTTGTGGGTCGATGTACCAGGTGTGGTGGTAATATGGGTAAGTTGTCTGGTGCAGCCGTGGAAGCCGTTCTCTGTACGGTTTTACGTTGTCGTAACGTACGGTAAAGGTGGGTCCTCTTGGGGTGTGTAGATCACGGGTTATGTGGGCGGTTTTGAGCTTGATATCGGAACAATGAACAGTTATTCCCAAGGATAGGAAAATGTTGTTGGTATACTGACGGGGGGGAGTCGCTGGATATCGTAGAACTAGGTCAGCGCGTTGAGAGGGTAGCCCGTGAAAATGTGGGTAGAAGAAATTTTTGGCCGGTCATATGCCATACGTTAATGTGAACGTGCTAAGTTATGAGTGAGTCGCAGCAATTCATGTAACTCAAGTAGGTGTTTGTCTAGTGGCGTTTTGTCTGTACCTGGTATGGGGAAATTCGAGTCCAAGGGTAATCGCAGGTGTCTGCCTGTTAGCATGAATAATAGTGCATATCCCGCCAAGCGAAGCGACAAATCCATTCATGGAGAAGTGCAGTCCCTACGGAGGTTGCATTGTGTCGGTGTAACGGTGTAAAGTAGTCGACCATTACCAGTATGTTCCCATTGCCACTGGTTGCTTGACGATGTCAACCCGTTGGAACGCGAAACCTGTTAGCATTCAGATACCCTTGTTTCTCATTTTCTTCTCAATACACTGAAAAGCTGAGACGGCAGCGGCGTGACATATCCACTAGTTCTTTATCCATTCATCTTAGAATCACTGAGATTTTTGAGATGGCCTCAAGAATGCGCCAAGCGCGCGACAGGAAAAGATAATCACTTGCCCTCAGTGATTCGAACCCTGGCAAATCCGTCGTTAACATCTTCCGTAATAGGTCCTACTCTAAGCCTGGTCACGAACTTCCACCCCTGATAAATGAAAACAAAGTCTTCCTCATCGTGACACTGGTAAGGCGGGGTTGTTTAGTGTTTTATTTGCAAAACACCTTAATGCTAAGTCCGAACCGATCCCCATCTTTTGATCCCTTTTAGATAGGACACTGAGTACAATCGATTTCCTCTCAGATCTCATTAAGAAACACATAAGTTATTTGAAAAACTCGCACTGTCCAGGAACGGATGGGATTCCGAATTCGATTATAAAACAGGCATCCGAGCTTCCCTTATTGCTTAGTCATTTATTCTCGGTTTATATTTCAAAAGGGTTCTTTCCTGAAACATGGAAAACGCCGAGTATCATTCCTGTCTTCAAGTCAGGATCTCGGTCCGATATTAAGAACTATCGGGGCATGCACAAAACGCCATCTCTAGCAACGCTTCTTGAAAGGATTATTTTCAATGAAATTCTTGACTTCTTTCTACTTAATTGGCTTCTGAGCTCCAGTCAGCATGGATTTTTACCTGAACGATCGGTCGAAACTTGCCACGTGGCATTTCTTAATCTAATCACTTCCCTTCGTAATGAGCAGCAGTCGGTGGTAATTATCTACTTTGATCTTAGCAAAGCCTTTGAGAAGGTGCGCCATAGACGTCTTCTAGTAAAATTGGAAACTCTCCGCATCCCGCCGCCTCTACTCGACTTCATCAGGTCCTATCTGTCTAACCGATATCAGAAAGTCATGCTCGGTAAAAGCTACTCGACACCTCACACGATCACGAGTGGCGTACTTCAAGGCACGATTCTGGGTCCGCCACTCTTCCTTCTGTATATCAATGGTATTTCGACTGAACTCAGAAATTCGCAAACGCTTATTTATACCGATGACCCCAAATGTGTTTCCTCATATCCCAAAGACTCAGCAACTGCTCGTGTTGAAAAAATTAATGCCGATTTACTACACTTAAGCAGATGGGGTTCAACATGGCAGATGGAGTTTTCATCATTCAACTGTAGTTTCATGCACTTTGGTCCTACCAAACTTCCTGGTCCCATATTTTTTTCAGAATAACCCACTCTCAGAATGCCTCACCATTAAGGGCCTCGGTCTTAGTTATACAAATAAGCTTGCTTTATTACCACATGCAGATAGAATAGGAGCAAGAATCCACCCATTCTTGTCAAACTCTTTTCATCGATTGAAGTGGATTTTATTTTCTCCCATTTGGAGCGATCAACTCAATATCTCAGGGCAAATAAACTTTTTATTAGTCGAGACCAGACTCCACTGCAACG